TGGACATTTTGTGAAATTTCCTCAAAGAAAATTCATTCGAAACGTACCTTTTTATTTTAATGTTATTATTATTTCACTTTAATTATATACGAACTAAAATTCAAATTTTAATCCAAATTAAATTCAACAATAAATTTTAGTCATATAATTCCTCTTACATATTCCACATTAAATTCTCCCAAACAAACATTGAATTGTAAGGTAAGATTCCTCTTACCTATTCCACATTTTCTAATTTTACCATATTTATTTTTAGTTTCAGTTTGCATTTTTTTCCTTATGCAGCTTGAGTTTTTTTTTTTTAAATAAAATGAAATAAAATTGCACTATCAATCCTAAGTAAATTATAATTACCATAAAATGAAATTCATCTGATGGAAAATGGAGTACAAAACTTTATGAAAAGGTTATACATCAAAATTCTCACATCAAATGATACTATAGTTGGTATATAGAGATTATAGGCAATAGGAATCGAAGAGTTGGTATTGTTAACACTATTCGATTATCAATATTAGAACAACGAGTTCGTCAACATCGATATGGGCTAACTGAAAAAACTCAAGGTAATGAGGATGTGGACACCCTCAAGCTCTTCGATCTTAAATGCCATGAGCACTATTTGAGACGATATGGGCCTAGCATATATTGCTTTCTCACTTCTTCCATAGACTAATTTGATCGTCAGAGGAACAATAGAAGAGAGTCCCTACTCTATTTCCAAGTTATCGAAGTAGCATATGGTTGTTTTCAACTAAACTTGTCCACTAGTTTTTGAATACCATCATTTGTTCGGGACAAATACAAAGAGTTGTGGTTTCTTATTTCAGTAGAGAACAACTCGATTTTCCTTATTCGAGTCCACATGAATAATTAGTTTTAGTACAGGAGATGCATCAAAATTTTAAAGAAATATCATAATTATCGCACAAAATAAATTAGAGCAAGACTCATGTAACCAGAAAGAAGTTGAAAACTGTGTTTACATAGAAGTCGTTTGACATCCATTTTTTTCTCATTCTCATTATTATTTTTTTCTCTTTCTTCATTTCAACCACACATTCTATCAATAACATAATATTACACATAAACTCAAAAATTCTTCTTACTTTTTAACCACACATCTTCCATCAATCACTATTCCAAATCAAATTCTTCTCCAAAATGGGTGTCAAACAAGGGCATAATGTAAAAAGTCATACAGGATGGATAAAAGCTTGGATCACATTCATTTTAGAGTCAAATTTTTGTTTTGTGGTGATAGGGTCAGTTTATTGATCTTTATCCTTTGTTAAAAGTTGAAGATTGTGAGTTTATCAATAAACTTTCATGGAGGAAAATGAGTTTGGTTTGCACACTTGGACATTCAAGGAGAGATTGATTGATCAAAAGTAAAGTGCATATACCTTCACCTCGCGTGAAATCCTAGTCACCTCCACACAGAGGCCTCGTCCAAGTAGACGATCCAGGCCTATGGAATAAGTTGAGGCTCAAGACATGCTTCATGTTACAACAAGATCGACTTGAGCATATGGTTTAAGGTTGAGGATTATGTTACAGCTCCGCCTTACCGACAACCTGGGCTGATGAGCCCATGGCCTAAGACCAAGAGTTCGGTTGAGGTTTGAGTTGACGTGCAAAGGCAGGACCCATAGGCTAAAGATAAGTTCAAAGTGAAATGCTTTCAAGGTATGAAGAGAAAGTCGACAAGTTGACAAACACGGGACATGGTGCCATAGATATCCCACTACAAAATATTTTGACTGCGGGCACCACTTATCTAGGTATTTACCTAATATGGCAAGTGTCAAGTCATCAAATCAATATGTCAGATGTCATTTCGCCATAATAAGAAAAGATGAGTGACTTGATGGAACAAACGATTTGATATGTTTATACATAAACCTCCAAGTGGTATATGTAAAAGTGACTCCGTACCAGTAGCCCACTCCCAACCAAGTGACAAGGATGGGTTAGCCATCCGTCAGCAAATAGGAGGAAAAAATTGTCTATGAAGTTAGAATTTTAATTATAATGTGTTCATCCTATAAATAGTCCCAATTTCCACAAAGCTAATGTATGTAGAATCTATAAACTCTTAGCAAAACTTTGTCAATTTGACTCTCTACACACAATTTATATAATATCACTTGAATATATGATAGTTGCACTTTCCATCGAGCAACGGTCTTTAATTCTAAAGTTGTCCTAATGTAT